TCCAAGGGCCCCTATCCTATCTTGGTTCTTCCTGGCTACCAAGGTTGAAAACAGCTCGTGGAGACACATTTTCATAAACAAAGTACAGCCAGTACCAAGGGGGGTGCTCCAGAAAAGGAGCTTGACCTGGGGGGTAATTGCACCAGCACTTGTCCTCCTAACTGCAGCTTTTTTAGTAAATTAGCATAATTGACAAATGTATAAAACTGTATGCACCCCCATGGTGGGAGAGCTTCTGGGACATGGTGGGGCATTCTTCCATAATTGCCCTGGAGACCTCCAATAAAGATCCACTTTTATACTACCTCCCATACTAATATAATCTCAAAAATGTGTTTTGTTTCATTTCTAGGTTGAAAAAAGGCATCAGCAGGACACAGCAGGCCCTACCCAAAAATCTCCTCACTTACATCATAAGCTTCTGATCACCTGCCACAGATCCAAAGAGAGACTCATGGAGCAGGTGCCATGCCACGTCTTCCACTACTGCAGAGTGCCCAGTGAAGATGGCTTTGGCATCAACAATCTTGCCCTCTTTGGGTCCAGCATTTACATCCCATAAACACACTGTCTGTAAATAAGCCACATTCTATTGAAATGCAGACTCTGATTGTATCATCTTTCAAATAAATAATCAATCACACTCTACATTTAAAGAGACAACACTCCTGAAGCAGTTCTTTGCTTTTGAAAAAGAACACTTATTATGCCATAAATGAGAGCTAAGTTATCAATCAGCCTTCTGCAAGTGCAAGGGCCAAGGATTATTTAGAAGGTCACAAAAGCAATTTACACTTTTAAAGTTCACAAAGAAATTTATAAGCTATTAGTTATTGATCTTTGAGAGTCTTACTAATTTATGGTCTTGACCTAATCCAGTGTAAAGGGTTTTTTCCAGTAGACAACTATAAAAATATTCTGTTCTTACATCAAGAACCTTAAGAAGAACTTGTGGTTGATGACAGCCTAAAACCAACTGACAGCCTTTAGAAATGTAACTACAAGATGTGAGAGCCTCCCCACATAACAATACACAGCTGCTCTAGGACAGCTTTTCTCCAATTTTCTACTACAGCATAAGGAGTTGGGCTCTTTTTACAGGGGAAAAGTTGTGGGTTTTTACATGATCATCTGATGCACTGAGAAGATGTCCACTCAAATTGGAGTTCCATGATAAGCCATAGCCTTCCTTCTGGTGTCCTCTTAATCTAAGTTCAGGATTACACTCTCCTCTTGGGTCTGAAAGATAGAAAATTCCTTTCATTTAGCATGTCCTTGCACATCAATTCATAGAAGCATCATTATCACCCAATTTCTGTTGTAATAATTATATTTCATACATGAACCTCTTCAGAGAGTGCTGTTTCTACCAAGATTCTTTTATGAAAGTGAGCATAACCAGGAAATTAAAGTCACTGAAGATATGGGCATTCCCCTTTGGGGTCCAGAGCCCAGCAACTCTGTCCCAGTCAGAGTTAAACACAAGTTTACCCCTCTGTGACAAGAGGCATTTGCTTAGCTCCAAGGAGCCTGACCCACCTGGTTTTGAAGGATGGTTAGTGCAGTCAAACACCAGCACATCAGCAGAGGGTGTTTTTGTCGCAACGATGCGGGGATTCTGCGGCATGTAACGGGCACGGTTCACTTCACCCTCATGGTTAATTTTCATCTCCATCTCAACTTTGCCAGCCACAGATCCAAAGCCACCAAGTTCTACAGTTGTCAGAAAAATGTTAGTTTATTCCATCCATTATTTCAGTCTACTGAAACAGCATTTCACAGCATCTTCCCTACTCCAAGAAACAGTGGTAGCACCTTATTAAACACAAGCAAAGACCAGGAAAGACCATGTAGCACACTACCATTAACACTTCTGATATTTAGAATCCTCTTTCAGAGCTTTAGTTTTTATTTGAGGTAGATGTGTACCAGTTTTCACCACAACTGAGAGCTGATAGATGTTCTAGTAGGGATTGCATATCAATGTTATCTAAGCTCTTCTGAAACAAAAAGTTTCTTCTTTTTAGTTGTCTAGGATTAGTGTGGACTGATAAGTATTTGTCCACTTTTGTATTTAATAGAAAGTTAGAACATCATTATCAGAACAACTGAAAGCAGTAATGATACTGCTCAAACAGAACCTAAGAATGCTGCATACCCACCTCCTTTCTCACTGCCAGACTTCAAAGAATCAAACTGATAATTGTTGGGAATCTGGACTCTGGCAACAAGCAGGTGATTCTGTTCATCAGACGTGTGTGTTCCCAAAAGCAGCCAGTGCAGAGCATAATCCTTTCCCTCTGGCCTGTTTAGAATAATAAATGTTGGAATAAAATTACGTGCTCAGTTCCAGAAGTTCCATAGCTTGCATCAATAACCCTGAAGGTGCAAACCTCTTCAGGGAGCCAGAAAAGAGACACTCCCAAAGAGATCCTCCCCTTTGGTGCAAAGCCTGTGTAATAAAGCAAACTGGACTCTGCCATGGCAAACCAAAGACAACCAGCAAGGCTCAAGTGACAATACAAGGCAGTAAACATTGCCACTGGGGCTTGAAAGGGGCAGTTACAGTTTGCACAGCAGTTAAAGGAGACACCAGTACCTACTTTGGTCTAATTTCCCTAGAGTGTCACAGTATTGATTCAGGAAACAATCAATACTCCTTTCCATAAAACATAAATCCTGAGGAAACAAGTGGCAACCTATTTTAGTTACTTCTCTTAGGAGCTTTTACCAGTTATCTGAACTAGAATCAAATTTCTCTTCTGGTGGTTGAATGCAACATTTAGTTAAAAGTGAACAGCTGGATGGATGGTGCCATTCATCTCTGAAAGGACAAATGTGAGCATAAAAACCAAGCAACCTCTGCATTCTTGAATGCAACAAACTAATTATGTTTCCTGAATCCAAGCAATCCAGAATCATTTGGGCAATCATAAACTACCACAGGTACACTTCCAATTGTAGAGGGGGGAAAAATACAAAGCCAAACAAGAAACACAATGCACATGCACTTACTTGCATCAGGAACAGCCGTCCCATCATGTCAGATGCCACACAAAGAGGCAGTCCTTGCCTTAAATGGCTTACATATTTTGACACTGGATAATTGGAAATACCAGGTTTTAAATTGAATATTAAGTCAATCTGTAAAATATGAGGCAAGCAGAAGTGTTCCTCATAAGGGCTCCACACCCTCAAATCCCCACTGCATTTTCTCCATGCCATGACCAGCTCATATCTCTCAATATCAACCCCAAACACTGGTACCCCAAATGAAGTGATCACCTAACCAACATGTAAAACATCCCATATGTAAAGTGGAACTTTACAGAAGAAAGAGACCATCCTCTGACAACTGCATGAAGCTTACACACAGGGTATTTTAAAATCTACCTAAAATCCACATTACACCAGTCCTTGTCCACTACCTCAGTGCAGCTCTTGTGTTGTTACTGCAACAATTTAAGTTCTGTAGTAGTTGGCACATGAACAGATTCTATCCCCATCTTCATGATTCTTTAAGAAATTAAACTGAACCCACAATTTTTTTCAGGGGGATGTGGAAGAATGGGAAATTTAAACATGTTAATTCAACAATGAACCAGGGAGAAAACCAGGATGCAAAGAACCACTTTTAGAATATTCTCTTAAATTCATGCTTAAAAGATCTCAAGCATATACTATACTATAGATACTATAGCTTGGATGGAACAATATATACAAAGCACATGAGGAAAACCAGTCTTTATGAAAGAGCTAATTTAGGAGATAGATTTCTCCATCAGAATTAACAATAGATGAGCACTAGATCTCTTATTTAGAAATAAACTGAGAAAGATTTCTGTGTTCACACTTCTCAACACCTTCTGCTAGGCTAATCTAGACGTCGGTGAAGCATTGTGACCTTTTTCCTGTAAGCAAAAGAAAGATAACAAAGAGAAGTCTAACCCAAATTGCTCTCGTCTCGCAGTTTTTATCCTCAAGGTACTCAGCACACACGATTAACAGGAAAGGAGCCGAGCGCCTCTCCGGCACCTTGCCTCCCTCACCTGCTGACATCAGGGAGCCACTGCACCGTGAGGCTGGGCCACTCCAGGGCGTGTGTCAGCACCAGGTCGTACAAGAAGGGGCTGTTTTTCTTCCAGATCTTGTACTCCTCGCTGATGACGCTCCTCCAGCGCTGCAGGAAGGGAAGGGATGAACCCAGGGTGGAGGGGCTGAATGGGGCCGCAGCCCCGGCCGGGATTCTACCGGGGATGGGACAGAGCGGGGGTCCCGCAGGACCTCGGGGGCGGCCGGCGGGACGAGAACTGCAGCCGGCCATCCCCGCTCCCACCGCCCACGGGAGGAATCCCGGAGCGCCGCAGCCCCGCTCCGCCATGCCCGGGCACTCGCACCCCTACACGCCACAGCCCGGCCGGGCAGAGGGCGAGGGACGGGGGCTCCTACCGTCCGTGCTCGCCATGGAGGGGGAGACGCGACGGGAGGGAGCGGAGGGGCAGGGAGAAACGGAGGAGGAGGGGAAGGAGGCAGGGAGGGCGCTCAGGAGCCCCTAGAAAGGCGGGCGGGAGGGAGGGAGAAGAGGCGACGGTGGACAGGGTCGAGGAAGCCGCGGCCAGGACCCCCAACCCTGAAGGGCTGCTGGGCTAGGGCGGGGCGGGGCGGGGCGGGGCGGGGCGGGGTGGGGCGGGCGGGCGGGCAGGGGCCGGGGGAAGGCGGAGGCGGGCCCGGGGGAAGGCGGAGGCCAGGCAGGGGGAAGGCGGAGGAGGGGCCGGGGGAAGGCGGAGGAGGGGCCGGGGAAGGCGGAGGCGGGCCCGGGGAAGGCGGAGGAGGGGCCGGGGGAAGGCGGAGGCGGGCCCGGGGAAGGCGGAGGAGGGGCCGGGGGAAGGCGGAGGAGGGGCCGGGGGAAGGCGGAGGAGGGCCCGGGGAAGGCGGAGGAGGGGCCGGGCCCGGGGGAAGACGGAGGAGGGCCCAGGGGATGGCGGAGGAGGGCCCGGGGGATGGTGGAGGAGGGGCTGGGCCGGGGAGAAGGCGGAAGAGTGGCCGGGGAAGGCGGAGGCGGGCCCGGGGAAGGCGGAGGAGGGGCCGGGGGAAGGCGGAGGCCAGGCCGGGGGAAGGCGGAGGAGTGGCCGGGAGAAGGCGGAGGCGGGGCCGGGAGAAGGCAGAGGCGGCCCCGGAGGATGGCGGAGGAGGGGCCGGGGAAGGCGGAGGAGGGGTCAGGAGAAGGCGGAGGAGGGGCCGAGGGAAGGCGGAGGAGGGGCCGGGGTATGGCGAAGGAGGGGCCGGGGAAGGCGGAGGAGGGCCCGGGGGAAGGCGGAGGCGGGGCCGGGGGATGGCGGAGGAGGGGCCGGGGAAGGCGGAGGAGGGGCCATGAGAAGGCAGAGGAGAGGCCGGGGGAAGGCGTAGCCGGGGGAAGGCGGAGGCGGGGCCGGGGGAAGGCGGAGGCGGGGCCGGAGAAGGCGGAGGCGGGGCCGGGGGAAGGCGGAGGAGGGGCTGGGCAGGGGAAAGGCGGAGGCCGGGGAAAGGCGAAGCGGGGCCAGGGGAAGGCGGGGCCAGGAGAAGGCGGAGGAGGGGCGAGGCCGGGGGAAGGCGAGGCCGGGGGAAGGCGAGGCGGGCCCGGGCCAAGGCGGAGGCCGCTGTGTTGCTCTGTGGCCGCTGTGTTGATCTGTGGCCGCGAGGTGGGGCTGTAGCTAAAGCAGCGCCGCTGAGGACACCTCTATTAAGTCAGTCAACCTAATGAGCCCAAATCGCACTAGAAACGTGGATATTGATCTCCCTTCGCAATTAGAAATGATAGAATTATTGAATCGTAGACTGGTTTCGGTTGGAAAGGGCTTTAAAGATCAGCTCATTCCAACTACCCTGTTGGGTAGGGGTGCCCTCCACTAGACCAGGTAAATAAATCTGTAAGGAAAAATGGTTACAGTGGGCACAGCTGAATAGTTACTGTTTTTTCAGCAATGGTGCTGAATACTGTTTAATTTTCTAGAAGAAATGTATGTTTTAACGATTTTTAGTTGGAGCTTTGGCATGGAAGGCACTGAACTGCATTACTGACCTGTCAGACACACAAGATCAGTCACTGTTACAGAGTTTTAGATTCTATAGCTCCCTAATGGGGTCAGTGGTGATGTCTCATACCCTGACAAGTGGCATGGCTTTGTTTAAGCAGCCATGTACAAATCAAATATACAGCCCTACCACCATCCAAATCAAACATACAGCCTTACCACCGTGCCTGCCCAGCCTTGATGATCTCTCCTTTCACCTGTCAGTGCGCAAAAGATTGTTTAAGGCCAGCTGGATGGAGCTCTGAGCAACCTGGTCTAGTGGAAGGTGTCCCTGCCCTGGCCAGGGGCATTGTAACACATGATCTTTAAGGTCCCTTCCAAATGAAACCATTCTATGACTCTATGATTTAATTTCACTGCTTTCAATTCAACTTAAATGAACACTTGCCTTAACCAGGGTAGATATTTCTGGCAGCTAATAACACTTTCCAGAACAATAATGGAAATAGAGGCAGTTAAGAATCAAGTTAGATTCTCCCAAATGCCCTTAAAGATTCAAAGGAACTTTTTGTCTCCAAATAGCATGTGTTTTCTTGCCATGTTGTAAATTACAGTCTTAAGATGAATCCTTGCTTCAGTGTTAAACTCACAGAGATGAATCCTCTATCACTGAAGCTCATATGCCTGGGTCCCAGAAGGGAAGGAAATCAACTCTGAAGTGTAGCTCACTGCGCTCAGGTATAGATGGTGGCAGGAGAGAGAGGGAAACAGACAAATAATGGCTGGCAGTTCATTTTAATTTCCCCTCTGTGAGGACACTCTTCATGGACTGAGCCTTCTAGGGTCTGGACACCAGTTTTTCAAACAGGGAATCCAGTTCTGGAAAATGTTTATGTCTAGCAAAGGCAGGAGTCTCCGAGGTTCTCAACAGCAGCCAAAGGCTGCAGCATGGGAATCAGGGAATAAGATTGAGGAAGGCAGCCAGCTCCTCCAACTGGAAACTTTCCCTAATAAACCATTGCTTTTCTGACCAGAGTGTTAAAAACCAGAAATCTTTTGGTGATGTTAAATAAGTATAGATTAACCTTTGCCTTAACCCACACAGACTGGAATTATACCTGTGCATGGCTTACTTATTTAAAAAGAGAATCCTGTTGAATTGCAGGAAGCTGAACAGCAGTCAGCTCCATAGGAGTGCACGAGTTAACACAGACACAGGGCCTTGTCCTGCCAGATGTGGCACCAGCTTCCCTTTGGCGCTGCTTACTCCATGCTTTGGTGTTTGCTGCCAGGAATGTGTCTACTCCTAGGAAGTGCTGAGGCCTTCCTAAAACGTTTTCAGAGTGAGGACTGAACCTTTCAGAGCCTGTGTGTTGTTACAGAGCGTTGATCACTTAAACTTCAGATAATGGATAAAGGAAATCTCTGTCAGGCTTCCTGGCTTCAAGTGACCTCTGTTAGCTCTCCCAGAAGGGTGATTGCTTGGCCCCTTGACAGATGAAGCACGTATAAGCATTTGGCTATGATGCTCTTTGTGATTTTGCTGTAAACAGCAGTATTTGTGGCCACAGCTTACCTGGAATATGATAGGGAAAATGTGAATTGGTTTTGAAAAATGATGGACAAAATTGTTCTTCAATTGTGTCATGTAGGGCTTGGCTGAACTATAAGTGAAGAATTGCTCCCCAGCCCTCCACAAGTTTTTGTTGACTCTGTTTAGGATCTGGAAATCAAGTTGGATTGTAATAGATTCCAGAACTACAACTAGCTTTGGTGAACAAAACCTGTTACATCAAGATGTCAAAATGGTTGGTAAGTGACCAGCACAGTTCTCTTCTCCTTGTTAACAATTACACTTGCACGCAACCACATTTTCTCTTCATTTAAATCTGTGCACCAAAAATCCTGTTATTAAGTGCTCTTCTCCTGTTGAGATTTATCATGGAAGAGACAATTTATAACACTACATCTATCAAAGACAGCACATCATCAACTCTTATGTTGGTTATTTGCAATTCATTGGCCTGGTCATATCTGTGGCCACACATCTAAAACGTATCCTTTGATCCCCACACTTTGTAAGGAAAGCAATTATGCAAGGCTGTTGTTCATCATTTGCAGGATGTGTAAAATGCACCATAAATTAGTTCTGAGGTGAAAGACTGACTTGAATCATAAGCTTTTTTTTTTTTTTATTAAGCTAATACTTCTTTCAAACCTAAGCATCAAATACTGCATCTTCATTTCAGTAAAAAGCCATCATCTCCTGCATCCTCAATTGTATGTGCTGCATCATGCTTCAAATTGAAGATATATTTGTAAAGACTTATATTCACTTGTTAATTTTAGCTTGAAGACAGGTATGCTGATATATTATTCTGCAAAGAATTAGCTGGCTTGCTGTTGCTTCTTTCTCTTATACATTATGCAGAAGGGATGGATGTTCTTAGCATAACTCAGCAAGTAGGTGTAGGTATTACTGTGAATGACCATCTCAGTCAGAAAATTGTGTAGGGTAAAACAAGTTTGCACAAAAACCTCAAAATTGCCCATTGGAAAAGTAAAATAGCAGCCTCAGCAGTTATTGTACTCTAACATATTTGCTGTCATTGCATAGTCACAGTAGCCTGTTTGGAATAATGCATAATTTTATTAAAACATGTTAATAAGAAAAGCACACTTCATTTTAATTCACTCAGAATTTCTTGAAATGTGACCATGTTTATTTTCCCCACTGCTCATCCAATATTTCTTTTTATTTACCCAGCAATTATCATCTCCCCAATATCAATCACACCTAACCAATATCCTGCTGTCACAAAAGATCTTGAGCTGTAGCTGTGTCTTGGACGTGTTCTCTGTGATGCAGGTTGGGATTTGTCTAATGGCAGCACTCTGACAGCACTTCTAAATATCTGTGACTGTATTTTATCCTGATGTGCAACATCTGTGTGCTGCACAGCCATGTGCAATTGGCAGCTCTTGCTTTGCCTTGAATAAAGAGCATTTATGGCAAAGTCAGTGCTCAGGGGAAAGCATGACTCACTGGATTATATCCAGCATTGTAGACAATTACTCCTCTTGCACCTTCTAGGTGGCATTGCTCCCACCACTGGGATGCTGCAGTGGGAACTCATGAGCTGCAGGGTTTGGGTAACTAGCGCTGTTTGTCACACTTTCAGCTGACTGCTGTAGATTGTATTGAATTTCAAGCTGTAAATGAGAGGAAATCCTATAGCAGTCTTGTGGACTCTTTCAGTATTCAGGAATATAGAGTGTTTTACCTTTGAAGTGGAATATGTTTATTCTGTAAGAAACAAACCAAGCTTGTTCTCATATAACAAGTCTCTCCTTCACCTCCCAAAGTAGCACTGCACTGAGCTAAGACTAATCCAACCCTGCTAAACACTTTTTTTGTTGCTTGCATGGATATGGTAATATTCCCTCAACTGGGCTTGCTGGGCTATTTCTGTGCTCTGTGACATTTATTTAGCATTTTCTATACTTTTTTTTTAATAATTCCATGTAGAATAGCAGGTAGATTATTTGAGAAATAGATATCAATGTTTAAATAACTGGCTTGGTACACTTTTATTAATTTTGCACAGAGTACTGAAACTGGTTGAATTACAGAAGAGCAGGGGAATAGTAGTTTTTAACATGTCATCTTATGAAACAGTGCTGCAATATGTGCTGTTTTGCATGCTTTATATTTCCAATATGTGTTTTCATTGTTTAATCTGCTGTAGCTCTGCAGCCTCTGGCCTGGACATGTTATTGCCCATATGTGGAGTTGCAGACCTGTAGGGATATTAAAAGAAATGGCAGAGAATATTTTGCCCAGCAGAAAATACTCTGGCTTTTTGATAGATGTAGCAGATATGCAAATTTTTACAACAACCTATTTTCCTAGAAGTAAAAATGCTCAAATTAATGCCATCAGGGAGATTTTCAATGAAATGGAAGGAGAATTCTGACTTCTGAAGCTTCCAGCACTTGGCTTAATGGAGTTCCTTGTTGCTTGTTGCCTTGGCCTCCCTCTTTGTGATCTTGGAGGAACTTGGGGAGCATGAATTGGGAGTTCCAAGTTTGTGTCTGGGTCACAGGAATCAGAGGAGACTGTAATCCAGACACTGCTGTTTTCAGTTATATGAAAGGAGTCGAGGCAAACTGCTGCTCTCAATGATGTGCTGAAGCACAGGAAAGTCTCAGCTTTTCATGCCAAAGAAGGTGAAAGGGAGTTGTTTATTATAATCCATTTCCTCTTCAGCTTCCACTCTAGGGCTTAAAAGCCTCTGTGAGTATTCAGTGAAGGAAAGTGATCTCTGGTCTTGCCTTCTAATCTTCAGGAATGCCTCTCCCCACCTGAGCTGCCTGCCCTTCTTTTTCAGAGGCTTCTCTGAGGTCACCATATGGTTTCTCTCTGTATTCTTAACTCATAATCTTTTGAGATTTGAAGCAATTAATAACGGCATTATCTTCCAGGTTTGGAATATCTCAGAGGTGAATCCACTGAGACAGGAACCATGCCAAGCTGTTTCAGCTCACTATCCTGTTTTTGTGGTAATTAAGGTTTTTGTTTATGCTGTTTGATTTACTCAGTCATTATGGCAGAACACCCTCACATGCAGTCTTTGGAAGCTCTAGAGGTCTTGATTTTTATATTGCCTTCTTTCCAA